AGGGGAGGGGGGCGGCGGCATGTCCGCCTGAAGGGCGGAGGAGCGCAAAGGGGTGGGGCGGGGGCGGCATGTCCGCCACGAGTTGGAAGGCGAGAAGGCTGCGCTACAAGGCGGCATATCCGCCACGAGGCGGCATATCCGCCACGACCTTTTTGTTATCCCGAGGCCGCCCCGTTGGCCTGGAGAGTTGAAGAGTCGTAGCGCGAATTACTCGCCGCGCGCCCTGGCGGCGAGCTCCTTCTTGACCAGCTCCTCCGCCTCCGCGATGGCCCTGGCCTCGGAGCGATCGGGCGCAACGAGGCAGCAGGGGGCGGAGGGGGCGTCGAGGCAGGGGCGAAAATGAAGAGAGCGCGGAGGAGGGCGTCGAGAAGGGCGTCGGTGAGAATCTGGCCTTGTCGGCCTCATCGCCCGCGATGTACTTCAGGCTGACGTTGCTGCCAGGGACGCCGACCCTGCCGCTGCGGAACTGCACCTGGGGGGCGGAGCAACGATGAACAGTCGCCTGAAAGGCGGCGGGCGCGCAAACTGCGACCCCAGCGGGGCTGCTGGGAATCGCCGCGCGCGCCCGACGCCTCATCGGTGGGAGGTTCAACCCCGCTCGCCAAGTTGCGTGTGGTCTGCATCTCCCACCTCGGCTTCGCCCACTTGCGCTGCTTGTCCTTCCCAGCCGCGCCGTCCGTCTTCTTGCCCGTGGGGAGCGGCGTCTTCTTAGCCACGTTGCCCGTGGCAGGCGGCGTCGTCTTCTTTGCCGCGTTGTCATTGCCAGGCGGCGTCGTCTTCTTAGCAGCATTGCCCGTGGCAAGCGTGGGGGCCTTCACCGCCTCGGCGTTCTTTTTCGTCTTGACCGCCTTCGTCCTCTTATCCATGGCCGCGACCATGGCCAGAGCCGCCTCCGTCGGGGTCTTCTTCAGAGAGCCTGCGGCGATGCCGACCTTCTCAGCCTTGGGCGGCGGCGTCACGGCGACGATGCCGAAGTCGGAGTCGGAGTCGAGCTCGATCGGCAGCTCATGCTTCTTCTGCTTCTTCGCCGCGCGGCTCTTGCTGATCGAGGCCGTTTGGGCGGCGGCGGTGCTCGATAACGGCTGACAGTCGGCGGGTTTGCCGCCATCGTGTGCCGCCAGTTGCTGCGTCGACGGCGCATCCGAACTCCCCGCCGCCATCGAAAGCTGGTGGTTCGAACCTGCTCGTTCTTGCAACGGCTCCTGCGGCTGCTGCGTCTGCGAGCGGTCGATCAGCTGGATGGCTGGGTTGGGCCAGCGGCCGCCGCTGCGCGAAAGCCCCACCTGAAATCAGGCGGATCACCGCCGAACGAAAATATTCCCCCCCCCCTAGGGGGATGGGGGGGGGGAATATTTCACAACACGCCCTCCATCCAGGCATCCAGAAACGTACCCCGCGCCGATCCAGGAACCCACCCCTCGACCCAATACCAGGTGTCCCGCGGGGGAATGCGTTCTGTTATTCCCCGTGGAGCCGTCGGCCAGCGCCCAGAGAACGAATCGGCCGCCGCGATGGGGAGGTGCTGCTGAGGAGAGCCGCCGCCTGGGCCGTGGGATGGCTGCAGCCCGCCGCGGGCGGGCGCAGGCGCGGGCAGCGCGAGGTGGCCGCTCTTCTTCCCTGCACGGAGATTAATCAGCTTCGCAATCGTCACCATCTCGACGGGATTTATCTGCGGCGCCGTCGCTCCAACACCTGGCGGGAAGGCGTCGACGTACGTGATGGGGTACTGAGACTGGAGCCTCCCAGGCGTGATGGGGAGAGCCTGGATGCCATCCCTGGGCGGCGGCATCGTCGCCACGAGATTCTTGAACGAGGATTTCACTGTGGCCAGATATGACTGCAACAGCTCCCTCGTGATCTCGCCCGTCTCCACGCCTGTCTGCTTGCACACCAGCAACAAGAATGCTGCCATATTGGCGGCCGTCGGGCAGCTCGGATGCCTCAGGCCAAGCGCCCCGAGGTGCTCTGAGAACGCCGCCATCTTGGCAGTGAAGCCCGAATGCGGCGAGAGCACGAACTCCCACAACTGAGGCGTCAGAAATTCAATGAACCCCTCGTAGTTCTGGAGCTTCCTCCCCTGCAGGCTGCCCGACGACAGAGCCTGCAAGAAGTCTCCCAGCTCGGACTGCGCCCACCCCACGCCGCCGCCCAAAGCAGCAAACTGCGCACTCTGGAGCTGCGACCAGCGCTGGGACGTCGCCGCCTGGATGCAGGCAGGAAGGTGCTCCGTCGCACTGCCGCGCGCTACGAACGCCGCCCGCGCCTCCTCCAGGCGGCCTCGAAGGATGCCCTCCATGGCAGCGATGCGGCGCGACCGCGCGCCGAGCGGAGTGCGCGACTCCCCGCGCGCGCACGCCGCCCGAAGCCCTCGGAGGAGGGCTCGCCAAAAACGGATCGAGCCAACGCGCGTGCGACGGACATATCCTACTCCTGCTCTTCCTGCTCCTCCTCCTCCTCCCCCTCCTCCTCCTCCTCCTCCTCCTCCCCCTCCTCCCCCTCCTCCCCCTCCTCCTCCTCCTCCTTCTCCTCTTCCTCCTCTCCCTCCTCCTCCTCCTCCTCCTGGGTGAGGGGGGGCGCAGGGGGGAGAGTGTCGAAGGGGGGGCGGGGGAGGGGGTGCCGAAGGGTGCGCGGGGGGGAAGAAGAGAGCTATGGGGGAGGGTGGGTCAAGGAGAGGCCAGGGAGGGGAGGGGGGAAAGGGGCGGGCGGCTTGCCGCCGAGGGGGTGGAAGGAGGCGGCAAAGCAAGCCGCCGATCGGGCGGTTGGGAAGAAGCGGTTTCCCGCCACGAGGAGGAGAAGGCGGTTTGCCGCCAGAGGAGGAGTAGGCGGTTTGCCCCCAGAAGGGGTAGGCGGTTTGCCGCCAGAGGAGGAGAAGGCGGTTTGCCGCCAGAAGGGGTAGGCGGTTTGCCGCCAAAGGAGGAGAAAGCGGTTTGCCGCCAGAAGGGCGGTTTGCCGCCACGGAGGGGGAGAAGGCGGATTGCCGCCATGGGGGGGGGAGAAGGCGGATTACCGCCGACGGAGGACGAGGCGACGGAGGAGAAGGCGGTGCGCCGCCTAAGGAAAGGGGGGATAAGGGAGGGCCGAAGACACATGGATAAACATTTTCCTCCTTCCCTCCCCCCTCCCCGCGGGCATGCGCGCAGCCCGCAGCGCCGCGGCCGCGAGGTACAGCAAGTACCTGCGGCGCCTCGGTCCTGAACAACTGAACAACAACAACAACGGAAATTCAATGGATTTCAAAAAAGTTAAGAATAAAAAATACGCAAATGATTAGCAAAAACACGAATATGTTCAGCCCCATCGACTTAGCAGAGATATCTAACTTAGTATATTACTTACATCTACACTTACAAACACCATAAGTATTGCATATGCACACATGAGATGCGCGATCAACAAGTGTACGTTCTATGGCTTAACTAAGATTATGTAAGATGAACGCTCTTACCGCACTTACAGCCACCCGACGATCAAAGCTCCCTTTTATTACGAAATCTGGAGTACCGACACCGCTATTTACTCCCCGAACCTCTCCCTGGGTGCGCTCCGAAGCCCACATGCCGAGGCGAGCCCAGCCGCGGCGACCAGGGCCTCCGAGGAGGAGGCCCACACACACGGGGCGAAGACGACGCGGGGGAGAGAACTCCCGCGCGCCGCTCCGAGAGAGACAGGTCTGCGCGGGCCCGCGCACTGGCCGAGAGCCTGCCACGACGACGCTTCTTCTCCCCAGACCCCCGACGGCATGATTTTTTCCTTGCGCGACCCCCAGTAGGAAGGCACCAACTATACACCAACACCGATCCTGGCCAAGATCGGTGTTGGTGTATAGTTGGTGCCCTCCGACCCCAGAGGTCTGGACCCATTCGCCGGGGCCGGTTTTTCATCCCGAGTGGTTTTCTGATGGTGCCGAGGGCCGGTGAGGGCCCCCCGAGGCCGAAACCAGCGAGAAACCTGCCGTCGTGATCTTTTCAGGACTCGAGGGGGTCTGGGCTTCTTCTCCGAAGGCCCTCTGGGAGATCTCCGGGTCGAGGCCGCCGGTCACGACCACCGCCACGCCCGGGCGCCCCAGCGTCGGCACGCACGGCTCCGCGGAGCCCCGGAACTCGACGAGCGCCTGCGCGCGGAGCCGGTGGTGCTCGGGGTCGAAGTGGTTGCAGCCGCCCTTCTCGGCTACACGCAGGAGTGGCCCTGGGTAAGAGTGACCTTTGGTGCGCGGCTTTTTGGGGGGCCGCGGGGAGGCCAAACCTGGGCGCGCAAGCCGCTGCTACTGCTTCGTTTTCAGCCATCTGAGGGCCCATCTGTGCCCGCACCAAAGGTCACTCCGGCGAAAGGTCACTCTTACGTCTAGTCGACCTTCTTCGGGGCGTCGCCTGCGGCGGAGCTCAGCCCCATCCTGTTCGCGGGAGAACATATATTGAGCAGGGGCCAGCCGTCCCGGCATGCCTGCAGTCCTACCACGAAGTGTTCTAATAGAGCCCAAGAATGTTCTAAGAGCAAAAACAAGGTTCTTAGCACATAAACACGATGTGTTCAAACAAGACAATATCAACCAGAAATGTTCTAAGAACATTCCGTGGAAACCACAAAAGGTTCTTAGAACATTGTTTAGTGGGGCTATAGGCGAGCCGGGACGCTTCGCCACTGCTTGAAAATATAATTACCCGCATCTGTGGCCTCGCGGGCCGGGCCCCGGGGCCGCGGCCCCGCGGATATGCGAGACGTTTTTATGCGCGGACGCCGCGCGCGGGACGCATCCGCGCGGTCGCACATACGCGGGAACGCCCCCCCGGCATCCGGAGCGCGAGGCGCGGATGCGGAGTATGTTCGCTTCTCGTGACCTGCGGCGGAGGTCCCTCAGCTTGCGCAGGTGGTCCGGGAAGATGCCGTCGGCGAGCGCGTAAAACTCCCGCCACCTCGGGGACTTGTGCGCGCTGCGGCGCCTGTGGTCGCCGCTCCAGATCTCGGCCAGGGAAAACGTCGTGCCCGACTTGTGCTGGTAGGTGTTAAACCTCTGGAGGCCACCCCGGATGGAATCGAAGCAGGTGGATTCGGGGAGCCGCGCCACATGTCGCCGACGCATCACGCATCGCCGATGCATCGGCGATGCACCCGCGACGTCGGCGAATCATCGGCGTCGTCGGCGTGGAGAAACTCGGGTTCCACTGCATCACCGAGGTATATCAAGGATGCGGGGAGATCCACCGACCCCATATAGAAGGAACCGAACTCTATATACACCGACGCGTCTTCCGGCCCTGCACTGACATTTGGATGATTTGTGGATTCTGTTGGGGGCAGTTCTCTTATTTTTCGTCGCAGATCCCCCTGCAGGGGGACGGGCCCGACGTGAGGCTGGCGAGCGCCCGCAGCGGGGCACCGAGAGAGCCCCCCGCGCTCAGACCCACCCCGCCCGCCCGCGGGAGGCGGCGGGCCGTGCCCGGCGCGCAGGCCGCCTGTCAGGGCGGCTGGGCCAGGGCCGAGGCGCGCGCCCCGTCCGAGAGAGGAGCCCGCGCGGGCCGTCCTGAAGAGAGACCGCCCTCTCCTCCTCCTCCTCCTCCTCCTCCTCCTCCTCCTCCTCCTCCTGCTCCTCCTGCTCCTCCTCCTCCTCCTCCCTCCTCCTCCCTCCTCCCTCCTCCCTCCTCCCTCCTCCCTCCTCGGCTGCCCCTGGCCCCCGCCCTGCCCCCCGCCCTGCCCCCCCCCCCCCCCCGCGACCTCCGTCGTACTGCCAGGGGGCCTGCGCGAGGCTGAGCCTCCGCGCGCGCGCGAGGTTGATGCTGCCGTGAGCTCTTTAAAACCGATGCGCGGGGCACTCATGCAAGAGCCACGTTCTGAAAGCCGCCCGCCCTCTGTCTTTCTGTAGCTGCTGCAATCTCTTGCGACGGATGTGCTCGGTGCGAGGGCGAGGGCCACACTCTGAAAAGGAACCGCCCTCTATCCTTGAAGCTGCTGCAATGTTTACGAAGAGAGCGGCGAGCGGGTAGGGGGCCAGGCGTGCCTGCGCGGCGGCCGTCGGCTGCGCTGGAACAGGGGAGCAAAAAGCGGCACGAACATAAAAACTCGGAGGTCCGCGCGGATTTCTCGGATCGGAGGGAGCGGCGAGCGGGCAGGGGGGCGGGAATGCCTGCGCGGCGGCCGTCGGATACTAGGGTTAAGGCGGGCCTGTCCCCCTACAGGGGGAGCTTCGACGAAAAATTAGAATAACCCGGAAAATACTCCAAAAAGGCAAACAAATACTCAAAAAATAGTCCCCGGACTGTGTTTGGACTATTTTTTTTGATTACTTTTTCGGTATCCTTTACTTTTCGTCGAATATCCCCCTGTTGGGGGACACGCCCGACCTAATACTAGGGGAACAAAAAGTGGCATAAACATAAAAACTAGGAGGTCCGCGCGGATTTCTCGGATCGGCGCTGGGGCCCCCCGGCGGCGCCTCCGGCGCCGCCCCTGGCGCGCTCCGCGCGCCAGGGAGGGGGGTCCAGCGCCGATCCGAGAAATCCGCGCGGACCTCCGAGTTTTTATGTTTATGCCACTTTTTGTTCCCCTCAGGAATGCCTGCGCGGCGGTCGTCGGATACACTGGAGGCCAGTCCACAAAACAGCGTCCACGAGAAACCCATCCCCGAGACCCCCGAACGTCCATGGACTTTCGGTGTGGGAGCGTCAGTCGCTCCATCGCAGAACCATCGGAACCCAAGAAACCCAGGGCACCCTGGGGGCGAGCAGGGTGTTTCTTGGCATGGGCCCCAACTGTATTCAGTTTCTTTTTCTGCTGCCAGGAGGGGGTCGCCACCAGGGCGACCGACGCAGGCCAGGGGGTTGTTTGGGCCGTTCCCTCGGCCCGACCCCCCAAATCAAGACCCCCGACGTCGTGTGTTTCTCAATACAGAGCTCGCCGCAGGAGACCACGCCAGGAGGGAGGAGGGGGTGGGGAGGGGTTCCCCCCCCCTCCTCCTCCTCCTCCTGCTCCTCCGGCTCCTCCTCCTCCTCCTCCTCCTCCTCGTCCGCCTCCTCCTCCTCCTCCCCCTCCTCCTCCTCCTCCGCCTCCTCCTCCTCCTCCTCCTCCTCCTCGTCCGCCTCCTCCTCCCCTCCTCCTCCTCCTCCTCATCCTCCTCGTCCGCCTCCTCCTGCTGCTCCTGCTCCTGCTCCTGCTCCTCCCCCTCCTCCTCCTCCTCCTCCTCCTCCTCCTCCTCCTCCTCCTCCTCCTCCTCCTCCTCCGCCTCCTCCTCCTTATTTCGGCGGCCCAGGACCTCTCCCGGGCCGCCTGCACCCACTCGGGGTGCGCGGCGTCGATGCGGCGCAGCAGCGCCGCGGCCCGGGAGCTGCAGGCGTGCAGCGCCAGCAGGCCCACGTGCAGCGCGATGGGCGCGGCGGCTCTGCAACGGGGGCGGACGTGGCCCAGCCCCGGCCCCCAGCCGTGGCCCCCCAGGGAGGAGGAGGAGCAGGAGGAGGAGGAGGAGGAGGAGAGGAGAGGAGGAGGAGGAGGAGGGGTCTTGGAGCAGGAGAGGAGGAGGAACAGGAGGAGGGAGGAGGAGAGGAGGAGGAGGAGGAGGAGGAGGAGGAGAGGAGGAGGAGGAGGAGGAGGAGGAGGAGGAGGAGAAGAGGAGGAGGAGGAGGAGGAGGAGGAGGAGGAGAGGCCCGGAGGACAGGAGGAGGGAGGAGGAGGAGGGCAGGAGGAGGAGGAGAAGGAGGAGAGAGCAGGGGAGAGGAGAGCAGGAGGGAGGAGGAGGAGGAGGAGGAGGAGGAGGGGGCTCACGACAGCCCCCCAGGGGGCTGCGAGGTCTCGGGTACTCCGCTGCTCCGCTGTGCCTCCCAGGAGTCCACGAAAGTGGCGGCAAGTGCGCAATTCCCAGCTCCCCAGGGAGCTGCGGGATCCGCCGCATCTGGGGCTGCTCTGGAGTCGGGGACTGCTCATGCGTTCCCTCCAGCAGCTGACTGAGGAGGGGAAGGAGGAGGAGGAGGAGGAGGAGGAGGAGGAGCAGGAGGAGAAGCAGGAGGAGGAGGAGGAGGACGAGGAGGAGCAGGAGGAGGAGGAGCAAGAGGAGGAGGAGGAGGAGGAGGAGGAGGAGGAGGAGAAGGAGGAGAAGGAGGAGGAGGAGGAGGAGAAGCATGAGGAAAAAAAAAAGAGAAGGTCCAGCGCAATCCGCCGTGATTCGGCTGATTTTCAGATTTAACATTGTGTCGAACATGCATCCCAACGATGAGACAAAGCAAAGCGGAACTCTCCGCCGCAGAAAAGTAGGGCGGCGATTTCTGCAAGAGCCTGGCGGAAAGAGCGGCGGCCAAATAAGGCGGCAACTGACGGCTAAGGCGCTCGAGAAATAGGGCGGAACTTTCCCCCCGTGCTTGCGGCATCGCCCCCAAATGCGGTTGCTCTCTACGGGGGCGATGCCCTGCCATCAAGATCACTCGAAAGCAAGAACATCTGCAGTCACCGAAACTCCTTCGACCTTCGGGTGACGGACCATCCGAACGACAGACCACCTGTCTTTGTTGCTCCTCGCGGCCCCCCTCTTCGCAAGGCGCTCTTGACCATGGTGTGTGAAGGGCCCTAACGTGGTGTAGGCGGGATCATGGAGGGTGGGGGGGCACTACATGTACCCAAGCCCCCTCGCGTCGTGGAACAAAAGCACGACGGGCAAATCGTTGTCATCTCTGCCTCTGGGGGCCCTCACTGGGCCCCGGGACCGTCGAAAAACAGCTCGGGATGAGAAAAAGAGCTCTGAGAGCCGATGCCGTGACCAAGATCATGGCGTCGGGCTGTAACACAGTCACACGTACCCATATCTCCAAAGATGTGATTGATTCAACCTCAGCGTTTCTTCATCGATTGCGGTCTATGCCTCCACCTCCTCCTCCGCCTCCTCCGCCTCCTCCTCCTCCTCCTCCTCCTCCTCCTCTCCTCCTCCTGCCTCTCCTCTTCCTCCTCCTCATCCTCCTCTTCCTCCTCCTTCTCCTCCTCCTCCTCCTCCTCCTGGCCCGGCGACCATCAGCAACAAAAATACGGAGCGAAAAACTGCCCATGGGGCAAGCAATCGGGAGCTCTGAGGCCGCGGATTGAAACAATAGATCGGCGGAGATTAAGGTACCCAGGGTCTCCGATCGCCCGTCTTCGGCGGGGCCCCCTTGCGAATACGTGCGCGGCAGATTCAGGTCACGACGACTCCAGCGTCGGCTTCTAAATACCGAACGGATCGTTCAGCCTGGAATTGGAACCGCGCGTATATAAACTAAGGTCTCTGGACCCTGTCCCATGTGGCTTCGCATAAACGCCACAGCACAACATGTAGTGTATCAGTTTCCAGCTGGTTCTCCATGCGACAGGTGCTGATATATTTATATAAGCACACAACTTGTGTATATGAGCACGCATTACTATATATGTGGATATGTACATGTCTGTGCTTATATATCTATACATATATATATATATATATATATATATATATGCATATATCCCTTTTCTATATTTTTACAATCCGGGGGGGTGGGACCCCCCCCCCCCCCCCCCGGAAAATCGGACCCCCGGGATCTGGCGCTTTTGGGGCCCCCTGGACGCCTTGCAAGGGGTCCCCCGGGCCTTCCGGGCCTCCTGGACGCCCCTGCCGGGCCTTGCCAGCGGGCCCAAAGCGGTCAGGAGGGCGGCCAAACGGCCCCGCGAGAGCCCCACGCGGCCCCAGACAGCCCCAAGACGCCCGAAGACGACCCAAAGAAGACCCCCAAGAGGTCCTCCAAGTGCAAAAAAAACACACTTTCCTTTCCTTTCCTTTTTTTGAAAAAAAATTTTTGGACATTCGGTTCTTCGGTATTCCGTGCGTCCGAGTCCGCCGAAGAGGCCCCAAAAATCCTCCCACAACGGTGTCAAAGGGCTTCCAGACAGTCCAAAAGAGCCCAATATGGTCCAACAGGGCCGCAAGATGGCCCCAAGAGAGCCCCGCTGACAGCCCCAGATGGCCCCAAGACGCCTCCCGAAGCACTCCAAATCGTGACCCGGTCGTTCAGGGAGACCGTGGTTGGTAGCAAGGTGGCCGCAAGAAGCCCCCAGAGGCCCCCAAAAGGCGCCCAGGAGGCCCCCAGAGGTCCCCAAAAAGCTTTCGAGAGGGGCCCAAGAACACCTCCAAAGAGGAGCCCCTGTAATAAAAACTGGGGATGAGGACAAGGAGTGGCTTGCAGACAAGGAAGATTACGAGTAAGAGGAGAGGAAGTATAAGGATAATACATAACATTACTATAACGACGATGGCGCAAACGGCAACAATGAATCATCGCTATATTTGGTTATCCTGCATGCCGAGCTTTAAGAATCAAGGTGCATGGCGCGAAGCGCCAATGCAGTCTTGTATATATATATATATATATATATGTGTGTGTGTGCATGTGTATAGTATGTGTGTACATGTAAAGGTGTATGTAAATGCAATTGTGATGGTATAATATATGAATTTGTATGTGTCTGCATTTATGTCTATGTAATTGCTTATACATATGCATATGTACATGTATATGCATATGTATGTATACACACTGTGTTTGGGCCGCCATGTGCCACTGAGTTGTCGACGAAAAATAAGGCAGGACACTGGACATACCCCAGGCCCCAATGGAAATGCGAGGCAGGGATTTATCCGTCTCCACCGCCCGTAGAACCGACGCCCTGGGGACCCGGCGGGCGCTGGATGTGGATGCGCTTGGGCCCCCGGGGGCCACAGTATATCCGTATCCACCGCCTGCGGAGGTTCGCGAAGATCGATCCCCCATGAGGTGGCCATGGATGAATCCCTGGCCCCGATCATCCGAGCCGCTCCATCATGGAGCGGTCGGTGGCTTCTCGATCATCGTTCACCGCTCTATGAGTGGACCAACAACGAGGCGACACCACCCCACCTACGGCACGACGGTGTTGGAATTTCAAGCACTTGCCCCGTGCGGCCTCGGCCGGTTATCACGAAGACCCCGCAATGGCGTCGGGAGGCCGCCGAATCACGCCGGCGCCGAACGCCGCCCGTGGCCCCGACCGGTCCGTCATGGAGCGACTGGTGGCTTCTCGACCACCAGATCGTTCCACAGCGGCCTCGGGGGCGGCCAAGAGGGGGGCGTCCAAGAGGGGGGGGCGCAAATCATGGCCGGCGGCATGTGCGCGGCCCGGGGGGGGAGCCAGGGACGCATTGAAATGAGAAGAGGCGCCATGAAAGCCGGGGAGATATCATGGCCCCCGCCATGATATCCACCCCCCCCTAGTCATCACCCCCCTTTTTGCCGCCCCCGACGGCCGCCACCGGGCCGCGGACAGCGCGGCCACCCCCGGGGCGCACGCGGCACGGCGCGAGCCTGCCGCAGTGCCCGCCCCTTGGCCATCCGCGGCCCTGGGGCTCGCGACCCCTTCCCCGGGGGTAGTTTTAGGACGACGAGATCTGTACACATATAACTCTACAAACTGATCTATGTATTTGAATCTACACATATTTATCATCATTATACCTATGTGTGTATAGATCCACTGCTCCCTGGCCAGGCCCATCCTGAACCCAGCACCAGTGCATGCGGCACGCCCTCCTGGCCTGGCCGGGGGCGTACGCACATCTCCCGGGCTCGAGATGGGCCTGGCCAGGGGGCAAGCCAATCTTCTGCATATCGCCCTATAGGCGTTGCACCCCAGAGCCGTTTCCTGGCCACGGGGCCCGAGAACGGGCCGCGGAGGCCGAAAGGAAGGAGGGCTCGTCCTCGTCGTCCCACTCACTTTCTTGGAGCTCCTCGACGACCCCCCCCCCTCCTCCTCTTCATCCCTCCTCGGCCCGCGTCGTCCCTCTCTTCGTTCTCCTCGTTCTCCTCGTTCTCCTCGCTCTCCTCCTCCTCCTCCTCCTCCTCCTCCTCCTCCTCCTCCTCCTCCTCCTCCTCCCCCTCCTCCTCCTCCTCCTCCTCCTCCTCCTCCTCCTCCTCCTCCTCCGCCAGGATTGAAATAATCGGATCGCTGGAGGTATTGTTGCGTCGTGCGCACTGGGCACGTACGATCTTGCTGGAAGGGATCCTTGGGCACATCCTCCGTGGACCTCCGGGAGGGCCCCGAGGTGCTCCCCAGATTTTTTTTGGGCGACCCCCAGGGCGATCGGGGGATCAGGAGGGGGACGAGGAGGAGGAGGAGGAGGAGGAGGAGGAGGAGTCAGGAGGAGGAGGAGGAGGGGGAGGAGGAGGAGGAGGAGAGGAGGAGGAGGAGGGAGGAGGAGGAGGAGGAGGAGGAGGAGGAGGGAGGAGAGTGAGGAGGAGGAGGAGCGAGGAGTGGGAGAGGAGGAGGACGAGAGGGAGGAGGAGTGAGGAGGAGGAGTAGAGGAGGAGAGAGGAGGAAGGCAGGAGGGAGGGGAGGAGGAGGAGGAAGAAGGAGGAGGAGGAGGAGGAGGAGGAGGAGGAGGAGAACACACTTCCGGGGGGGGCACCAGCTGGCAGGCCGCTCACTTGCCTGACGCGCCTCCAGTGCAGGTTTTTCCGTCGGCGGCGAGGCAGAGGCGGTCCGCTCCAGCGTGTGGCAATTCGGGGCAACCGAATGGCTGACTGGGCGGCATGCAGGAGAGGGAAAAGGGCGAGGACGGCCGCGCAGAAGAAGGGGGAGGGAAGAGCACTCAGACGTGGAAGACTTCTGCGTCGAGCGGGCCGGCGCGCCTCCTGTGCAGTCGAGCTGCTGCAATGAGGAATGCAAGCTAAGAAACGAACCCCATCTGTGGCACCCAAAGGTCCTTGGTGCACGAGGAGGGCGTTACAGGAACAACGACGGGAATGACCCAAAAAACCGCGGGCCCCTTCTGAACCCACGGCGGTCTTTATCCCACCAACCCTCTGGGCCCAAATGTCGACTAGACGTAAGAGTGACCCTGGTTAAGAGTGACCTTTGGTGCGCAGCTTTTGGGGGCGCGAGGGAGCCAAACCCAAGGGCGCGGGCCGCTTATATCGCATCGCGCTCGGCGATCGGGGGGAGCCCGATGAGCCCGGATTCCCGGTTCCCGCGTTCCCGACTGCGGTTCCCGATTCGATCTCAATCAATCGATCTCTCACGCAATCGATCTCGCTCAATCGATCGCACGCGATTGATCTCACTCAATGGAAGTCCTTCTCGATATTGCTCGATCGATCTCACTCAATCGATCTCACTATCGATCCCATCATCGATAGTCAGGTCGATCTCACGATCGACCTCACTACCAATCGCACTTTGGAGCTCACTGCCGATCTCACGATTGTTCTCATACTCGCACAATCTATCTCAGTATCTTTCTCACTCCATCGATGTCGCTCAATCGATCTCACTCTGGCGATATCACTCAATCGACGTCACTCAATCGATCTCACTCAATCGATCTGATTTAATCGGCATCACTCAATCGGCATCACTCGTTCCAAAATTTACAAGGGATCAGCCTTTAGGGCCTCTTCTGGCCCTATGGCGAAACTGCGGCCAGGCATGGTGATTACCAAATTTTCAAACCGTCCACTGATTGGGTTTTTTCTCTGGTGTAATGTGTCTTCTCTTTTCCAAAAGCCCCTCCTTCCCCTGCTCGGGTGAGGGGTTTACTAAACCCTTCCCACTACCCCCGTCTGGACGGGGCGCCCTGCGAGGTGACAGAGGGTCCTTCTTGGGCCAAGGTGGTTCCAAAAGGGCCCCAGAGAGCGCAAGATGGCATCCAAGATAGCGTGCCAAGAGGGCTCCAAGCCGCAGCTGTCTCCGATAGTTTGAAAAGGGCCCCAAGAAGGGCCCAGTAAGGTAAAAAAGGCTTCCCAAATGGCTCCGCAATGGCTCCGAAATGCCTAGTCCAAGAAGCTCATGGATCGAAAGCTCCGCGAAAGCTTATGGCTGACTCGTCGTTGTCGTCGTCGTTGTATTCGTCGTCGTCTCCTCCTTCCTCACCCATCCTTCTACTGGTCCGCTCTTTTCTTCTTATTTTCTTCTAATTATTATGATTCGTCTTATTCTTGCTACTTGTAGTAGTAGCATTATTGCAATTGTTTGCTATTTTATTTTTATTATCATGGTTTGTAGTATTACCCTTCTTCTTTATCGTATTGCTATTATTGTTATCCTCCTCCTCCTCCCGTATTATGTTCCTCCTCCTCCTCCTCCTCCTCCACCTCACATTGCCAAAGGTAGCCTCCCCTCCCCGAGAGGGTCCCTCGATTACTCCAAGAGGGCACCCAGGAGACCACAACGACGCCGGTGTGGCATGGGAGCAGATGGTCAATGACTCGGCACATGCTCCCGCCGTTTTTCGGCGCCCGCGAAGGGCTTCCGAGGCGGTTGTTGCACTGCATGCTTCTACACGTCCCCGATATGGGCAACTCGCCTGGCGATCGTCCCTGGATGGGCTGCGAGGCGTCCATCATTTCATCTGATTTCAGCGTTTTGGCTAGAATGCTAGGTCGGGCGTGTCCTCCTACAGGCGAATGTTGAACGAACAGTGAAAAATATAAGACAAACAACAAGCAAACAAATGCTCAAGCATAGTAAAACAAATCGCCCCCAAACCATCTGCAACGATTTTCGAGCACTCCTCCTGTAGAGGGTCGGGCCGGGCGAAAGGGGGGATATCAAAGGGGGGGCTTGAGAATCAGCTCGCGTAGCTGATTTTCCCGGCGCCTCCTGGCGCCAGGAGGCGCCCATGCATCGAGGAATGGGCCCGGCGGCGGGGCCGAGACCAGCTGCATGCAGCAGATTTCGAACCCCCCCCTTTCCCATTCCCCCCCTTTCGTTTGGCCCGAGAGGGGCACGCCCGACTTAACTATCATGCCCCCCTTGCCCGCCCAGCACCTCAAAAGCCTGCACCTCGGCGCGCACACGCAGACTCCCGCGGCCTGAGCGTGGCTGGGAGACCTGGCCATCGCTCGGACGTCCATTCCCTGTTTTTTTTTTTTGGTTTCGTGCGTGGTTTTTTCGCCAAATGATCAAGGATGCTCCTCGATGGTCCTCGCCGAAGGAAAAGTGCACACGTCCGAGCGATGCCAAGCCTTGCTCGCCCAGCACCTCAAGAGCCTGCACCTCGGCGCGCACACGCAGACTCTCGCGGCCCGAGCGTGGCCTTGGAGACCTGGCAATGGGCACCAACACCAACACGGGGGGGGGGGCGCCTCCACAGGGGGATGATGATCCTAGATGTCGGTGCTGGTGGAAAAATCTTTCGGCCACCCTGGAAGCCAGAATTATTACCACCATCGCCGAGGTCGGGACCCTCGTCCCTCGGTGGAG